CAAACATGACCATTTTTGAAACATGGTGTAGTTGTCCATGTTACTCTAAGCCTACAAACCTTGCAATATGTCTCCTGACTATATGAGCTTACACCATGACTCCCGCGTGGGTGGCGGAGGTTGGCCATTGTGCCCATTTACTCCTCGTCCTCATCCTCGTCGCCCTCTTCGCTACCCTCTTCATCCTCATAATCATCCTCATCGTCGTCCTCGTCATCTTCATCTTCTTCATCCTCATCATCGTCGCCGGCATCCAAGCCATAGTCGTCGTGGAAATGGCTCAGCTCATGGGTCTGAACCTTGTAGCCCATGCCCTTGAACGCAGTCTCCATGTTCTACAAGAAAAATAAGAAAAAAAAGTCAGTGTACATGTCGGACAGCAAAGGAGAAGAAGGAAGCAGGGGAAAGAAATGCGGATTTGAAGGAAAAGGAAAAGCCATACCTCTTGCATAGTCTTAGCGCACGTAATCACCACATTGCTCTTCCCCGGCTCAAAGCAAGGCATGATGTAGTCCTTGAGCGCCTGCCGGATCTCGTCCTCCGTGACCTCTCGCACGCGCTTCAGAATCACCTTGTTCCAGTCCTTGGGCAGCTCCTTGAAGACGCTCTGGACAAAGTTCTGCTGCGCGGCGCTCGGCATGGTGGACTGGTCGTCTGCGAAGGTGACGACGATCTGGCTGATTGTGCCCTCGAGGAGGTGCTTGTCGATGGGCACCTCGGCGTTGGCAATCTTCTGGATGGCGTCCCGCGAGGCGATGATGGCCTTGGAAGCATCGGGGGAGCGGTAGACCTTGTAGTTGATGAGGCCGTTCTCGACGTTGCGCGAGAAAAAGGTTCCGTAGGCGTAGCCGGCACCACGAACAGCGTTCCACAGAGGTCCCTCGACGGTCTCGAGGTAATGGACCGCCACCATGATGGCGGGCAGCATGGGGTCGGCAAACGAGAAGAGGCCGGCGGCGGTGCTCACCGAAAAGGAGCTGTCGAGAGTCGTCATGGGGATGATGGTGGCGCCGACAGAGCCGGGTGCCCTTCCTTCGGCGTTGAGAAGACTGGATGGCTTGGGGATAGGCGCCATGGGCCCGTTTTGCGACTTGAGCGCCGTCGAGAGCGGATCCCAGGTGGTGATGGGGTTGGGGAGCTTCTCCAGATTGGCCGTGACGAGGACTCTTACGTTTTCAAACGTAAAGAGGGAGTTGCGGATGTCTTGGAACCATTGCACGACTTGGTCCGGATTCTTCTTGAGGATCTTCTTGAGACGCTTCAAGTAAACTGCCTTGACAAGGACTCGTCGAGCAACCGAAAGAGAAGAGCGTTCCAGGTGGATGGCCGTGTCAACCTCAGTGGACATGCTGCGACCGTCGCGCTTCGATTCGGGAATGTCGGCCAGGGCCTTCATGACAGCAGCCTTGATCCGGATGGGGTCGAAGACGGAGTCGAACATCATGGTGCGAAGCCAGTTCACGGCCGCGTCATACTTGTCGGGCTCCGCCTGGAATTGGATCATGTACCCTTCGCCGTCACCAAGCTGGCGAGAACTTCCAATGTCGTAGCCAACGCTGTCTCTTTCCAGCTCCATGACGACCTGCTCAAAGTTGATCTGCTGTCCATCTCGCACGATGTGCGTATTGAAGAAGTTGTCGCTAAAGATTGACAAGAGCGGCTTCAGGTGAACAGGAACCTGAGACGTGCCAACATGCATGGTGATGTGCACAAAGTTTGTGGGAACATCTTCGAACTGAATAAAAAGAGGCCGCTTGCCCTCGGGAGCGGCATTGATGAGCTCCTGAGCACGCCCGGGGCCCAAGCCAACGGCCTTGGCATTACCAGAGCGAGCAGTATCGGATTCAATGAAGTGAATAGATTCTGTGCCAGGAACAGGCCAGCGATCGATAACATCAGGTGGGATAGGCGCGTCGTTCTTCTTCTTGGCCTCCTCGAGCTTATGCGCGAGCTTCTTCAGCCCCTCTGGCCCGAGTTCCTCCTTGCGCTTGGCGATGCGAGCCTCGTGCTCCTTCTTCAGCTTGAGGGCCAGCTCCAGAGATGGCTTGCCCAAGACGGAGATGTGATGGGCATCGGCCATCCATTTTCGCATAAACTCTCGCCACTCCTCATCCGACCACTTCTCAAGGACATCGTACTCTGCCAGAGTCTCGAGTTCCCTAAGTGTTGAGCCATCACGCTTGCCAAAGAGGTAGTCAGTTATGATGTTGGTAGCGTAGAATGACTCCGATGTTTCGGCGTGATACTTGACCTGCCGTCTCTCTCTTCGGATGCACTCTCTCATGTACTCCATGTCCAGGGGCTTTGACACAACGTCCTTGAGGACTTCGAACAGGCGCTTCTCCACAAACTCGAGCTTTTCAGTCGCCACGCCGGTAGGCTGCAGCCAGATGAGCGAGTTCGGTCTCGACTCCCACCAATATGAGACGGAGCTGGCAAGCTCTTCCCGTTCAACAAGGGTATTCTCCAACACGGACACAGAAGATCCACAAAGGTAGGTCAAGAGGATGTTCAGGGCCGATGTAGCAAGAACGTCGTTGCAGTGGGGACCGAAGAATCCAATGAGGATTTCACCCACAGACTCATCTTCCTCTGGAAACTCTTCCGTCGTGACAATGGTCTCTTGTAGCAGAGGCGGCTGAACCGAATCTACCCAGGGCCTCTTGAAGGGGGTGTCGAGAGCAGGGATATCATTTTTGATGCTCTCCTCAAACGTATCCAGGATTTCCAGCAGATTCTCATGGTCAGCCTCGCCGACAATGACAACGCACAGGTTGCGCGGCTGGTACATATCCCGATGGAATTGGCGAATGCGGTCAGCAGTGAGGACTCGCAGCGCTTCTGTCTTGCCGCCTGTTTCGTAGCGAAAGCCGACATTCTCTGGGTAGAAGAGTCGGCGAGCCGTCAGGTCCATACGTTCGGCGCTGCGGTTCTCCGTAGCCTGCATTTCCGAGTATACAACACCCGCATCATTGCCCTCTCCGTCGATGTGCCAGACCTCGGTGACAACGCTCTCGTCGGTAATTGTAGGGAGGATTACATGCTCCAAGTAGACGGGAAGGATCTGAGCAAAGCCCTCCCAGCCCGCCGTCTCGAGAGTATAGGCCGTGTGGTCGGTGGCTGTCCAGGCATTCGTGCCGGAGTATGCGCGGGACGATAGCTTGTCGAGAAGACCTTTCCACTGGTATGATTTGGAGCCCATAAAGACCAGATGCTCGAGGGTATGAGGGGCTCCGGAGTCGTCAAAGATTTCGGTGGCTAGAGTGAAGTAGCCATTGATCTTTGGTCCCTTGCGGTCCGCAACAACCACCTGCAGGCCACTCCTTTCAGAGACATATTGGGTGATGGTGCACGGCGCATAATCGGTCTTAAAGCTTTGCACCTTGCGGAAGCTGGGCTTTAGCTTTTGAGAGGGCATATTGAAGTCTTGCCAGCCAGACCTATGGATTCAGAGTCAGTCAAGGTACCAGAGAATAGGCGAAGCAAGACGATCGACCAGATTCGGCGGGCAGCCAGGCTAGAAGTAGGATACCAATGTGCGAGGACAAGTGGTACAGGACAAGCCGAACCCCAGTCACCGACGTCTTTATTGACGCCTCGTGAGGAAGCAAACAAAGGGTATATGAGTAGCGTCTCGAAGAGGGGGGGTAAGCAAATTGTTGTGTTGACCACACGGACCACCTCGAGAGTGGATGGCTATGTATAGAGAGGACAAACCTCAGCAGGCAGCTTTTCAACGAGGCGTGGAGGGAAGACAAGCCATGATTGCTGATGGATAGCAAGTACAAGCCAGCGCTGAGGACCGCGACGAGGAGCGGCAGGATCTTGCTTGTAAGCCCGGCTGAGAGCATCGACCAGAGTCGTCTGGCTATGTCCTGCAGGAATCCGCGTTGCCGGCTCGGGTCTTTGAGGAATGACGTACAGAAAGATATGCTGTGGAGGAAATAGAGGGCATAGAGGGGATGCGAGAGACAGACTAGATAGATACCTTAGGCCGTGGAGGCTTCAGGCGACGCAAGACAGAACAAGGAGGATGCCTTGAGCAACTCACCAAACACAACGACCAGACACGGAGGAACAGAGCAAGCTGCACTCTCTCTGGCAGAGAGTAAACGACCTCAACAGCGTCTTTTCTCGTGGTTTGCTCTCCGTCTACCCCGCTGGTAAGCCAACAGACGGCGTGAGAGGAAGACTAGAAGAGAAAGACCCTGCGTCTGCTTATCCTAGAGGGGCAGCGATTGCTGATGGAGGGGCTCGAGCACGAGCACGAGCACGAGCAGACAGACAGACAGACAGACAAAGAAGGGGTTTAAATACCTGTCGGTTGTCGCTCTCTGGCTGCCGTAGTCGCAGAAGCAGCTTGGCGAAGGATCCCAGCAAGAGAACAATATCAAAGTACGTACCGCCAAATGGTTTGTTTCGCTGCGGCGAGCGTTGAAAGGTGGTGGGGCTGGATTGTTGGAAGAAGCAGGCTGTTTGATCGGGACTTTTTGGTGGCTTCAGTGGGTGTAGCAGTCCCTTGTAGCGCGAGGTGTGCTGTGGCATGGGGGGGGGAGCTGCGCCACATGGGTGAGGGGTTTCACTCGCCATGACCTTCACATGTGTTCCTACTCCTAACTCTCTAGTATTACCAACAGACACCAGCACCAGCCTCAACCCGTGTGGCGCACCATAGGCCAGCTGAGAGCTGCAGCACCTGTACGCAGGTACGTACCATTGCATTCCCATACTAAGTGGCGCCAGCATTCGCTGTGAGAGCGAGCTCAACTGCCAGCAAACACCAAAGTAGCAGCAAGGCTCAGACATACTGTCCGATTTGCGCAAATCGACGCGCCTCAATCCCAACTGACTTGTTCCCAATCTTGCGATGCGAGCGGAATCCTCTTGTGCCGTTGATGCCATTGTCCAAGACTTTCCCTGACCACGCCCTCCAACAAGCCAGAACATTGCTTGCGCGCCACCGCATCGACAGCTAGCAAACGTCATCGCGAGCCACCAATATGGCGGCCACAGCCGAGTCGCAACAGCTCAGCAACGCCATCCTGTCGTTTGCGCTGGAAGGCAGCTTCCCTGAAGATGCCACCGCGCTGCAGTCGGTCTCGGAGACTGATTTGAACCCGACAATTGAGGCTCTGGGCAAGGCCAAGTTGGATATCGAGGTACATGAGCCGTCACTCCAGGCGTCGGTGGCATTGCAACGCGTTCTGACTGGAACCCCTTCTCTAGGCCGAGATCCACACCATAAACGAAGAGACAAAGGAAGACATCAGCTCGTGGATGAGGAACGCAAAGGTCCTGCAGGAGGACATCATCCGATCCAAGACCATTGCCAATGACATCATCCGTCAGTCCGAGGCACCTGAGGTGACTGGAGAAGCGATCCTAGATGCGGAAGAGAAGGCCGAGTTCCTCAATCGAGAGGTTCAATACAGCCAGCAGATTCACGGCGTCTTGAGGCGGATCCAGCAAGTCAACCAGCTTCTCGCTGAAGTCGAGCAGGCAAGCAGAGAAAGGCGGGTTCTCGACTCGCTGCGGCTGCTTGAGCGTGTGTATCCCCCATCCGTGCCATTGATTGCTGACAGCGGCTGACCTTGCGAAGAATCATGGAAGGCCCTCGATGATGTGGGTGTTAGCAAAACAACCCGAGTAATGAAGCTTTTGGACCTGAGGGCCTTTGAGCTAAAGTCCGATATCCATCAAGTCTTTAACCACGTTTGGAAGACTCTGGTGCAAGTCGATACCGAGTTGGGCAAGGTTGCCATCTACAATACGCGACAAGGTTTGTGTATACAGTTCAATGCCCATAGATGTCTCTTTAGGACACTTGCTGACCTCTAGAAGATGAGAAAATGAGCCTGGACGATGCCGTAGTTGGCCTGAAAGCGTACAAAGAGGTTGATGAGAGAATGGAGCAGCTGTGGCACAATTTAGATGCAGCGGTGGTTTCACCGCGCATGGATGCTACCAGAACAAACATACCCGGCATCAGGGTGGAGGGAGACGTGCTGGAGCTTGCAGGATCCTCTGACAGCTCAGCCGAATCCTTGCTATCGGATCTCGAACAGATCCTGACATTCGTGGCTCAGAAGCTGCCAGCCGATCTTTTGCGACCACTGGCTGATGTCATGATGGGCGACATTCTCTCCAAGCTTACCAAGGTATGGCTCAACCCTGCCGTTCCATCGGGACTCAAGGATCTGGATAAGTTCCAAGCGCTGGTATTGAAGATGAAGGAGTTTTGCGATGCTTTGCAGCATAGCGGATTTACCGGCCTCGAGCCGATTCAGGATTGGGCCAGTAAGGCTCCTACAATTTGGCTTGAGAAGAGCAGAGAAACGGCACTTGACAGCGTCCGAGTCAAGCTGGCCAGTGGGATTGGGGAGTCCAAACGCGTCGAAAAGATTGAGAGGCAGATGGTCTCCATAGCTGAGGGTAAAGAGCTCTCCAGAACTGGGGCCGGAGCTGTTGCGGACTCAAACGACTGGGGAGACGACTGGGGAGAGGCATGGGATGATGAAAAGACAGCAAATGATACGCAGGTAAAAGGACACGAAGGTGACCGCAATGAAGATGACGGAGCTGCAGATGCTTGGGGATGGGATGACAACGATGATGCGAACAAGGATGAGAAGAAGCCGGAGGCCAAGGAACCTGCCGAATCTGCTAACGAGGATGATGGTGCTGATGCGTGGGGCTGGGGAGACAACGACGATGCAAACGGGCCAAAGAACGCAGAAGCAAAGGACGCGGCTAATGCTCCGGATGAAGACGATGGAGCTGATGCATGGGGTTGGGGCGATGACGGCGACGCCCAAGAGGAGCCCGCTTCCGCTCCTGCTCCTGCACCTGTGCCTCCAGCTGCTAAAGCGAAGTCAGGCAAGGCCAAAGAAGAGACCAGGGAGCTTGTCTTCAAAGAGACATACAGCATTTCGTCAATGCCCGAGCCCGTGCTCGAACTCATATTCTCCATCCTGGAAGACGGAGCTGCGTTGACAAAGGACGGAAACGAGTACAGCCTGTTGACAGCAACGGCACCTGGCCTCTTCAGCTTGCCTACCTTCGTCCTGGCTCTGTTTCGAGCCATCTCGCCTCACTACTACTCGTCCGACGCTGGAGGCAACATGTAAGTTTGGCAGCACGAGACGTTCGCCTCTCAAACACCTCAGTGGTACTGACATGACTTTTTAGGTTCCTGTACAATGATGCCATGTATCTGTCAGAGAAGCTCTCCGACTTTTCCATAGCTTGGAAACAGCGCGAAGACCTGACACCTCGTGCGCGAAGCATGCTCCGTATTGACAATGATGTCCGGACGCTTAAAAGCTTTGCCAACCGCAGCTACTCCAACGAAATGAGTCTTCAAAAGACGATACTACAAGACCTCCTTGGCGGATCACAGAGCCTGGCACAGCAGGACGACAAGGAGTCGTCCATCGAAGCTGGCACAGCGCGTATCCGGAGTGTGGCCGCGACATGGGATCCTATCCTGAGGCGATCAGTTTGGTCCCAGGCAGTCGGGTCTCTTGCAGACTCGCTTGCGTCACGGCTGATATCAGACGTGCTGGAGATGCCATCGATCGGACAAGAAGAGGCCTACAGTATTGCCCAGCTCATCGCTTCGGCAACGGAGCTAGATGACTTGTTTCTCCCCAGCAAGCTCGCCGGGACGGCCCCGGTGCCGGATGAATTGCCAACGACGGCTCAGTATGCGCCGAGCTGGCTGCGCCTCAAGTACCTCGGCGAGGTGCTGCAGAGCAATCTCAACGAAGTCAAGTTTCTGTGGTGCGAGAGCGAGCTGAGCTTGTATTTCACGGTGGACGAGGTGATTGATCTGATACACGCCAGCTTCGAGGACAATGCACGAACGAGGGAGACGATCAAGGAGATCAAAGCCAAGGAGCCGTTGGCCAGATGAGGCCTGCTGTGGCGACTGCAATGAATATACGATGATGAAATACTCGGCTTCTTTAGCGCTCCTCTTTGTCCCATGAAGTACAGATTTGCTGATCCCCCCCCCTTTACTTAGCCAGTACCTATGGCATTGATGACACACCGACGTTGCTCGTTTTCGTGATGGCTTCATGAGGCTCTTGTCCGCCGTCGACAGCAACGCACGACATGGGCGGATGGTTTAGTGGTATAATTTTCCCTTAGCATGGTCTGTTCCTCTGGAATCAGAATAAAACCGCTTGCTTGGGAAAGGTCCGGGGTTCGATTCCCCGTTCGTCCAGCGTTTTCTTTTTTCTCCTTCACTCTTTTTATCTCCTCATCAATCTAATGACTTTTCCCTTTTTTGCGCACCATACTGTTTCTGGTGTGGGAAGCTTTTTGCCACCCAATCTCGTCTGTGAAAGCCACTTGAAGACGGACCATACATATTCTTTCTTGCGAAACCCCCCCCCCCCCCTTTTACCCCCTTTCGAGGTCTTCTTCCTCTCTCTTTTCTTCGAAAATTGCTAAGCTATCTAGGTATTAGACTAGTAGACAAAGCGGGAACAAGTCGAGCTTGAATCCAACATTGAAGAGCAAGATCCCAGTCCAGCAACACATCGGATAAGTACCCGGGAGCCCAACACCCCCAACAAACAACCCTCTCTCTGTGCATCAACCAGTTCGCATAAACAGAAAACCCAAAACATCTCCCAAACTATGACCAGAAATAGAGAATCAAGCGAGCAAGCAATTCAATCGTTCGATAGTTCCCGCCATGACTCGTTCCCTGCAGCGGGCGACAGGTCGATATGGCGCGGAAACCTCATTAATCTGTTGTTTATGCTAGCTAGATAGGTAGACAAGGTGTTTGTTGTACGTTGCATTGTACCTACTTGAGCTTATTTCTTACCACTTTCATTCGTTCTAGAAGGGGGTGAAGAACAACATGACTTGCCTACCTACTAACACGAACATTTTACAGTACCTGTTGGAACCAATACTTGCCTCTCCAGTACCCTACAACTAAAGGCTCGTCATCATGTACTACCTCCTCTAAAGATCTTGTCATATGGCACTTACCCATCAGATGCCATTCCTCCAAGCCAAATCCCAGCTCTAAACAATATGGACTGCATATTCTCACCGCTCCCTCCCCAACAGAAAAACAACCATCGTCACCCATATTGCCCGGCACATTTCTTTCTCACACAACCCCCTTGCATTATCATCATCATCATCATCATCATTCTCAGCCCATCGAGGTTCAAGTTCCTTCCCTGACTCACATCGGCCTGGAACAACACGAGCTCAGCTCGTCTTCGCCTTTCCCTCTTGTTCACGGTACATATCACACACCCTCACCCCCCTTGTTCACGGGCATGAACATGTACCCTGGCCGGCATTGATCAGGCAGGGTGAGTCCTCATGTATGGGAACTCCAGGTACTTGTTCACGGTGTGGAATCAAGACGACGCCCGAGAAAGCCCTCTTCCTGATCGCCGCCCATCTTTCCCATCGAGGAACATCCACAGACAAGCAGGAATGATAACGACAACACAGCATCACGAGTACTGATACGACAACAAAAACAGGGTGATATCTACATGTTATCAAGACAACATGATCCCTGGTCTCACACCCGTGCAGTAGCGCTGCAGCCACCATCAGCCTTGCAACGACACGTCAGCCTTCCAGATGCCGCTCCCAGGGATCTTGAGCAGGCTAGCAAGGGAGCCCACGGCCAAAGAAAAGGGGAGTTCAAACCGAGGTGTACGGAGATCCTCCGTTCAGGGTGTGCTCGAAAACACCGATCCGCATGGGACGCACGCTCAAAAGGAGCCTAGTGAAGCACCAGGAGCACGTCCTTGTCTCGCGAGTACGAGGCAATGGGTGCCTCACAAGTCACTGCTCCTCCCGCTGCTACTGCTGCTGCTGCTATTCCTACGGCTGATCCTGCCTTGACCCGATGTGTGAGCACCCCCAGCCTTGCTGTGACCTATGTACTGTCACTAAAGCATACCCACCGCCCCTTTCTCAGCCAGCAGCTCGGGACCGAGAGGAGCAGACAGCTAGACTCGCTGGAGCATAGTTCTTGCGCTGGCAATGTTCTGGCGGTACACTTTCCTGTTGTGGTTCGTTCGTGAAGTCGATCTTCGTACAATCAAGATTGTGTGGTTCCTGGTGCCGTGCCGCGAACGCCGCTGACGGCCCGGCCAGGCTATGCTAAGGCAAAGCTTACTCGTACTGCATGCTTTGTCTTCACGGCTTACCCAAATCTCCATCGTCACGCCTTCAGCGCTCTGGGTTCAGCATAATACATGCACCAGCAAATGGGAGAAGCCGGCCAGGCGCCAGTCACAAACCACCTCAACTCCTGCTTGCTGAGGGGCACCCAGCATAAGAGCAACCCCCCCAGACCACCGGAGCCACTGGACAAGGGAGGGTATTATGGAGGGCATGCCATTTCCCCAGATTTTTGCTCCCCGACCCCTTGGGAGCTCCCACAAGATCGGCTGGGACTGCGAGGCACGTCGTATGAAGTACTGCGTACGCTCGTAACTGCTCCGTTCGAGGTAGTAGTACTTCTGCCTACACGAGAAGCGCAGCGCGCGCATGAAGCAATAGTCGTCTTTTTTCAATGCACACGCCTCCCCCGTCTCGATGGTAGCATGTAGAGTACCAAGTATTTGGTAGTACTTGTAGCCCATGCCGTTGGCTAGTACTTGGACAGCCCGCACACCACCTTATAAGCAGCAGCAGCACCATCCCTGTTGGCTGGGCTGAGGAAGAGTAGGGGTGGTTGAAAAATGCCAGCCATCGGATCAGCAGGGACTTCGTGTCCCAAGCTATTGGGGTAGTAGAAGAAGCCGGGGAAAAAAAAGGAAAAAGGAAAGCCAGCGACCAGGGGTGAGGGAGGGAAAGTCCAACCATCGACGATGAATGCCTGTCAATTCACGCCGGAAGCTGGATAGCGAGGCTGCCGAGGCTGCCGCAGCCCCAACGAGAGAGCTCGCCCTGCATATTCACCACCACTGCTGAAAAAAAGTCTGCTTGGTTTTTTCCAATCAGACTAGTAGTCAGATGTCTCTCTCTTCGGTCACTTATGTACGGTCCAGGCTAGTCTTGGGTTGCTCGATCGTGATCCGACCACGAAGCCGGATCCTGCCTCTGTCCGAGACTTCCATCAGCAAAACACGGCCGAGTCCGCGATGAAGGGTCGTACCTGTCTGGGAGCAAAGTCAGCGGGAGACGTGGTAGTTGATTCAGGGTCTCGCGGAGTGGGCCGGCCGTCAACGTGTCCCCTCTGTGGCACACGGGACGGGACGAGACGAGGCCGAGCTATTACGACAAGTAATACTCCGTACTTTCGCACTTGGGCAAGGGAATACTACCACCACGCGGGTCGCACAATATTTGTGAAGCCAACAGCAGAGAAACCAGCAGAAGTCGCGGAGCCAGCTCCGATCGATTGGGTGTCACTGGGCTCTGCTGGCTGGAAGAGTCCGCAAGCATCTGGACAACACCCCCCTCTGTGCCCTGCAACTCTGCAGGCTGAACTCCGTCTCTGGCCTGCCGTGACAGCGTGTGTGTCGCACTCGCAGCGTCCAGCCGCAAAGCGTGCATGCACGGGCTCTTTGCAATCCGACCATCATGTCCAGTCTGTCCAAGCAGGCGGCGAGCTCAGACCAGCGCTCTCATGCGTGCGATAGCTCATACGCGAGCGCTGCTCCTTCATCCACGCTACCAGCGCCCCAGTATCGCTTCCTGCGGTTCCCTGCGCAGAGATTCGCCCGTAACGAAGCAGACGTTGGCCCATCGCATGCGGAGCGAGCGTTCACGCCGTCGATCGCTCCCGCCGCTCACCTCAGCAATCGACATCTCCCTTCCCTGAGGAAAAGGGGGCAGGCAGGCAGTCAGGCAGGCAGACAAGCAGGCAGCAGTGAGAGGAAATGACTCCAACATCTTGTGCCCAAGAGCATGAACATCAGCTGGCCCGCCTATCATCGCAGACAAACTGACTGCTCGTTGTAGGCATACGCGTAAGCATCGGCCTGTCAGCTCTCGTCTGCATAGGATGGTCAACGCATGCACATGCAGTCAGCGTGCGAAGCAATCCGTTTGCGCTGCCATTGCTCTGGACGCCTGATGAATAGTTCGGCCGCCTTTCCGTATTTCGGCGGCAGGATAAGAATCTGATAGCTCAGGTGTCCCGCCAGCAAGCGGACGAGTTGCGTCGCGACGAGATGCCTTGTGGGCACCTAGGATCAGCGTTTCTCCTCGTACGCGAGGCCCCCATGGGTCCGTCATGTCTTCGGTGAAGCCCTTTGAATCGTCTCGCCGCGCTGCATGACGACTTGCGCGCAGCGGCATGTGCCCGTTGGCAGCGGGCAACTCTCAGCCGACGAACCCTGAAACCGGCCAACGGGGAGAAGCAGAGCCAGCTTCAGTTGCGCCATCGCTTGACCCCGTGCAGCGACCCGCCCAATTTCATGCTGCCAAAAGACGACAGCTCATGGCCCATGGGCATTCTGCTTCTCTATTTTAGGGAGCGTTTGCGTCATTCCAATGATGGGTTCTGCATCTGCACAAGTCGATTGTTTCAGACAGACTCCTGCTTTAGCACCTGTACCACATGTCGGCAATGCCTTCACGCTTGTGTGCCATATGTCAAAAGGCCATGCTTGAGGAAAAAGGCATCGCAGCGCAGCAAGGCTTTTTTCTGCCGCTCGGTATGCCGAAAGGGTAGCAGCCTTCTGCCTCGAGAGGCATGTTGGGTCGGGGTTCATCTCGCAATGTGCAAGTATCACCCAGGCCCGAGAACATCAGAATGAAGAAGACAGGGAGTCTCTTCCCTCAGTGTCCTGAATCGGTCAATACATACGAGTAGCTGAGGTTGCCCAGCACTGTGCATCATAGACCATTAAATCTGCCTCGACACCAAGCAAGCAAGCAGTAGCTGCATGTTTAGCCCAGACATGACCC